ACACTCCATCTGAGTGCTTCACCCGAGTGCTGAGCCACGTCCCCAGCCTGCGTTACCTGTCTTCAGCCTCTGAGCTAGCACAGTCTTTAGAGCCGTTGCTGATTTTTCCTGTGATTGTGTCCTCCCGTTACTTCCATGTGATGGCCTGGCAGCAAACGCCGGACTTCTAAAACCTTAGCTTCTGACATGCCTGCAGAGATAGTTCTGTTCCACAAGATCTAAAGAATCACAGCCCAGAGATCTCGTTCCCACGGAGCGAAGCGGAAAACAGGCCTGAGCAAAGGTCCCCACCGAGCTGAAGGAGACCAGGGAAACACGCCAACAGCCTCAACTTCAGCAGGCGGAGCCCCGTGAAAGGACCCTGTCGGGACGGAGACCCGGAGGCGCACACTGCAGCTGCCAGGTGGCTAATCCCCTCCAGATGGAAGCGTGTTGACTTGAAGCTGGGCACACATGTCACTGGGTGACAGGGAGCGCCTCGCCATGATGAGGCAGGGTTCAAATCCCAGAGCCCATGTAAAACGTCCACACGGTGGCAAGAGTCTGTAACCCCATCCGTATGTGGCCCAGAGACAGAGGGATTGAGTGCGCCTCTGGTCTCTCCACACTCACGGGTAGATAGACATGTGTGTGTGCTCACGGGTAGATAGCATGTATGTATGTGCTCACGGGTAGATAGCATGTGTGTGTGCTCACGGGTAGATAGCATGTATGTATGTGCTCACGGGTAGATAGCATGTGTGTGTGCTCACGGGTAGATAGACATGTGTGTGTGTGCTCACGGGTAGATAGACGTGTGTGTGTGAGCGAGCATGCACACACATGCAGGCACATATACCACACACGGACACACACAAAGTAAAATATATGGATTCAGTTACTAAGGCAACAATACTATTTCTTAGGACTTGGGACCAATTTTAGAGGAAAGTAAAGATATATTTAGGAAATTCTGAATACAAGTCTTTTGAATTTACGAAAGTGGTCACAGTTCGGAGTGAGGTCTTATGACACTGTAGATGAGTATGAACCTGGGTCATATTTGCCAGATTCTATGGGGTTGGCTTGGAAGATTTGCCAGATTCTATGGGGTTGGCTTATTTTGTGCCCAAACTTTTTTTCTAAGTCTCACAATTTCCATTCATTCCTGAGTAACAGATGTTCACATTGCTTTTTAGACTGATTTCCTGTTTGGGTGTTTTGCTCACATATATGTATGTGCACCAAGTGTGTGTGGACAGTTGTGAGCCCCGTGTGGGCTCTGGAAGCCAGATCCTCTGCAGGAACAGGTGCTCCTAACGCCTGAGTCAGCTCTCCAGCCCCCTCCCCACTACACAGCGTCTTTCAAAGAGAGCTTCAGGATTTTTCTGGCTTATTCGTGGCTCTCTTTACTCTCCCCTCACCTGGGGCACCAGGTGAGAACAGTCACCAGCTTTCCTCTCTCCTCTAAGCCCAAGATCCAAAACTCCATGAATGTCCTAGGTTTGATTCCTAATATTGTTCTCAAGCGTGCGCTCGCACATGCTCGCGCGCACACACACACACACACACACACACACACACACACACACATACACACACACAATGTAGAGAAGAAAATGACAATTCGATGTGTAGATCCCACTGCAGATGTCATTGAGTAGAGCGATCACCCAGGTCACACAGGCCCTGACTCTCATCCCATTGGGGTGGGTTCTTTTCCAACAGCCATTAATCCTAAACCTTTTTTTTTTTTCCACATGAGCAAACTACCTCAGGCCAGACTTGGGAAACTGGAGTGCCCTTACTGTGTGCAGCACTTGGCTTGCACAAGTGGAAAATGAGCCTCGTGGAATGCCAGGAATCCTACTTTGAGCACTTGAAAGGATTCTGAAAATCATAGAGGCCCATCTCTTTCATAGGGAGAAAAAAGTTAAGGTGTGTGCGGGAAGGTGGCAATCAGCCTTGAGTGCAGTGGCCACCCCTGACCCCAGATTCACACCCCACACAGCCCCAGAGGGCATGGGATCTTTCCTCTGCTGCCAGCTGACTCCTCCAGCATGGTGAGAGGTCACGCAGGGAGGGGACGAAGGGCTGAGGCTGAGTCAGCGCCATCACTCCCCACCCCCAGTGCCCCGTGAAAGGCCAGGTTCCCTGTCCCTAAGGCCTGTTTCCTCCTCCAGCGTCTCTGATGAGCTGTCACAATCTCTCCTATTTACTATTTAATGGGGTGTGCTCGGGGATGTGGGAGACAAAGCATGTCTTTCTGGGAGCCCCCCAGTCCTGTGACCCTAAGCTTCAGGGTGCGCTTACCCAACCCTGACTCTAAGCCCCACCCAACCCAAGTCCCGTTGTCCCCAGACTTGACTTCCAAAGCAGACCCAGAGGGAGTACTGCCAAGAGGCTGAAGTTCAAGGTGACATCAGAGCCTTGACCTTCAGTGGGTCCCTTCAGGCGCTGAGTGTCTGCTCTGGCCTCGGACAGGAAGGCAGGCCAGAGCTGAGCAGCTGCGCAGACCTCAGCACTGTTTCTGAAGGGACTGAGACACAAGGACAGAGGAGGCAGTGCAAAGGTCAGCCGGGCCTCCCTGCTCCGGGCCTGTTCACCCATCAGGAGCCCTGGATGGGGAAGAACTGGAGTCATGTTCCGCCACCCGTCCTGCATTCTCCTTCCCTTCCCATCCTCCTCTCCTCTCCCCTCCCCTTCTCCCCTTACTCTTGCGCCTAGTTCTGGGAATAGAACGCATGGCTCCATGCATAGCAGGTCAGAATTCTACCACTAAAGCCTGATCCAGTTTCTCCACCCCCTTATCATATGTGTGTGCCCGAGTGTGTCTGTGTGTGTGTATGTGTGTGTGAATGGGTAGGGGGTACATATGTGTGGAAGCAGGAAAAACCTGGACCATGGGTCCCTGGGAGCCATCCACCTGTAGACAGATCTTGCCAATTTGCCTAGTCTTTAAATGCAAAGACAGAAGCCAGAGATGCCCCTGGCCTGGCTAGCTGGGGCCCTGAGCCCCAAACACCCCACATGCTCCAAGCTCTGAGCCCTCCCCACTAGGCCTGTGGTGTGGGGAGCACTCATCAGGGTGCTGCTGCTCCGACAGGGCACTGAGTCACCGGGCAGAGATGGCTGTCCATGATAGCAAGGTGGGAGATGTGAAGATACGGTCTCCGGACTTGGCGCTGTGGCGCCCGCCTGCCTCCTTCCGGGCTGCCTGACACTGGCTAATTTGTGCTTGGTAAGTGTCAGAGAGACTCACTCTCCCAGCACTCCCATCGTCACTCCCTGGCCTTTCGTGGATGGAAGGTTCTTATTAGCACTTGGGAAATTAGGGTTTTCCTTCCGGGTGGGTTAATGCATATTTGGATATGAGTGTGGAAAGCACCAGGGAGGTGCCCATAGCCAGCAGGACTCTGGGCTGCAGAACAACGACCACTGACAGCCACCAGGAGGGACCCTCTGCAGGCGAGCATGCAGACCCGCTGGGAAGAGGCCTCTCAGTGCGGGCTGGGCCGTCTCATGGCTCATTAGCCCCGTGGATGGGTGCCCAGAGGTGGGCGGAAAAGAGCAGGTGGCTTCTCCCAGGAGCATCATTAAACCCCTGCAGAGTTTGTGCTTGGCTCTCAGGGACCAGTGCCAAATCCTTGCCCTTGAAATAATGTTTCCAGGTCTTCCTGTTTGGAGGACGAGGGAGGCTGTGTGAAGGCCTAGAAGAGACGGCAAGAGAGAACAAAGCTAAAGGCCCTGCCAAGAGCAGAGCTGCTGGTAGGAATGCCACAGGTGAGGAGAGAGGCGGCCATATTTGTGTGAAGCACATCATTGGGGCCATGGCCACGGTCGGATAGTTTAGCCAGTGACACACACGCTCTGCAGACATCTGGACGTCTGGGATCCACAGGCATGCCGGAAGACCTCACCCAGTGTGGAGAGAACCAGACCAGGCTTATGGGGTTTCGGGGCTCTGTAACCCAGAAGCCACAGTCAGCCCAGGTGAGGAACACAGTTTTAGCCACTGGTATTCACAGGACTTCCGCCTGCCTGCCCACCCGTCAGCAGGCTTCAGGGGTAAGTCGTGGGAGCCAGGGGAATTCTGACTCGCACGCCTCCTCTCCAGCTCCACAGAGTTCTGGGGATGGGCACGCTTTGAGCGACAGGACATCCCTGAGCTGGGGCAGTAGGGAATCAACTGTCCACTCCCTCCCCACCGCCCGGCTTCAGCTCAGGAGCCTGAAGAGATGCCCTTGAGGCTCAGGAGCCTCAGGGAAGACACACGAGCTGCACGGCACACCTGCAGTGGGCTGGTAGGACTGTCGTTGTCCCCTTGGCTTTCCACAAATGGGAAAGGTGTCGGCGGCTCAGGCATGTGGCGTTCAAGACACGGCTGTTTCATAGCACATGCTCACAGGCACGTAGGAACACATGTGTTCTGGAGGTAGACATGGCTGGTTTGGGACATTTGCAGTCACAGGCAAATGACTCCATAGACCTTTGACCTGTGGGTAAACGTTTGTTGATCTATATCCCAGAAAAAAAACATTATTTATTAACAGGGCAGTAAACAGACAAGGGTGGCGAGCTTGTGGGGGCAGCCGAGGGCAGGGAACGATGCAGAGGGTAAAGGTGGACCATGAGGCGGGGGTGTGCTAGGGAGCCGAAGGCTAGGGACACAGGAGGACAAGGCCAAAGAGAGATATCTGAGCTAGGCGGGACCCAGTCTGCTCAGGTGACCACCTGTCCAAAACAGCGAGACCCGGGCCGAAGCAGAGCTTGGGGTCAGCAGGGAGAGACGGTGGGGTGGAGGCTCGGGCACACGGGTAGCCAGACCCTAAACCTGACTAGATTCTCCAGGCCTTACAGTCCTGTGCAGAGAGTGGCAGGCTAGCCCAGAGGGGCAAAGGTGACTGTGGGACCCCACCCAGCTCCCCCGGAGAACCCTGTGACTGCAATTCACCCCCAAGCTACCTCGCTGACCGTGAGGCTCAGCCCTAAGGGCAGGCGCTGTTCCCATCTTACAGGTGGGGAGGCTGAGGCTTGGCGAGAGGAGGCCCCCACTCACGGTGACGCGCGACATGTGAGCAGCAGGGCCAGGATTCAGACAGAGAGAGGCCCAGCTGCCTCTGGCCACACCCACTCACGGTTAACCCAGGAGGAGAGAGATGTGCTGGTCCCTTCTACCTGGGAGCCTCAGCGGACAGGTGAGTGACAGGTGCAGGCAGGTGAGAAAGGAGGACGATGTAACTGGGTGGGGGACCAGATGAAATCACAGCAGCATCACAGGTGGTGAGGAGGTGTGACCAGCGTGAGCAGCCCAAGGTTCACGTGAAAGGCAGACTAAGAGTTCTGTCTTGGGAGGAGGTGAGGAGGTTTACAGAGAGGGTAGGCATATCTGGGATGCTGCAGACACCCCCCTGATGGCCGGGACACGTCCTTCCATCACTCCAGTGCAGAGCTGAGAAAACAGAAGCTTAGAGGTCACAGGTTTCCTCCTGAGCCAGTGAGATGGGTCACTGGGGAAGTGCTTTTGCCACCAAGTCTGATGAGCTGAGCTCCGTCACCAGGACCCACTCGATGGAAGGAGGGAACTGACTCCTGCAGGTTGACCTCTGACCTCCTCACACACGCATCGTGGTACCTGTGCACCTCCCCCCAGATAAATGTAATTAAGAGAAAATGTTTCTAAAGAAAGAAATCTTAAGCTTTTTGTCTAAAGCCACACCCGGAGGAAGAAGAGATCCTGGAACACCGGCTGAAATGTCACCAGCAGGTATATCTAGGTGGGTCAGCACAGGAATAATCCTACCATGACAGTAAAAGCACATCCAACAATAAAGGAGTCGGAATGAAGTCTGCCTCGCAGGGACACAGGCCACAGGGGTGCGCAGACCGCAGTGCCGAGGTCCGAGTCTCTCCAAACACACTTGGCGTGCAATGGCCACTGTGGCAGCATTAATTGGTAGGGCCTGCAGGAAATTACTGAGTCACCTTTACCTTGCACCCAACGGAGCTGACAGCTGTCCCCCATCCTCCTCTCCCCTTTACACAGGCAGACCCCAGCTCGCTCGCCTGGATCCTCCATGTCAGCTGAGAGCTCTGTAGTCCTCCTTCCCCATGCTCACGCTCACACTCACGTTCCCTTAAATACCCCGCTGACTCAGCCTCTCTCTCTAAGTGGCAGCCTTAGTCACAGTTCCTCACATTTCTCTTATCATGACCAACACCCTGCCTCCCGCCCGGAGTTTCTCCCATGCCAGCCCCTGCTAAATAAGGTCTAGTTTCTCTCCCATGACACAGAAAGTGAAACAGCAAAGAGCCAGGCAGGCACAAGTACAAACCTGTTTTGTTTTGTGTTTGTTTTATTTCCAAATTATTGTCCAATTATCACTCAAATTATTTCCTTGGGAGAAATGCCCAAGATTGGAACTCAGGGGTGAGGAATGTGGGCTATCTCAGTGACTTAATGGTCTGATCTGAAGATGAGCACTTGTGCCCTGCCCAATTTGCCACACACATATTTTCAGGATGTTTAAGAATTTCAGTTTATGCTTATCCTCTCTTGTTTTATTTCTCTTCCTACTGAAAGAATCAAATTAATTTTAAAACATCATCTATCCATGAACCCTACTCCCAGTTTTTCTGTTGTTTTGGTTTGCATGTATGTAGTTCCAAGCTAATATATATATATATATATATATATATATATATATATATATATTACTAAATAGCAGGCATTTCACCAATTTTATCATGTGAAAATTACATCCCCTCTCCCACAAACGGGGTCAGGAGGAGGCTTGGCTTTCACCCTTCTTGATGCTCCAAGTGAGCCTCAAATAAATAAAAACAAAAGAGAATTGGGAAGGGGTTGTCATCTGTGTTCACCCTCAGAATAACAAGCCGCTTTGTCTTCTCAATAAAGACAAAAATTAGGTACAGCAGGGCTCGCTCGCTCTCTCTCTTTCCTTCTCTCCCTCTTTTCTTCCCTCCCTCTCTCTGTCTCTCTCTGTCTTTGTCTCTCTCCCTCTCTGTCTCTCTGTCTGCGTCTGTCTGTCTGTCTGTCTGTCTGTCTGTCTCTCTCAACTTGGCTGTCGTGGAACTCTATGTAGACTAGGCTGGACTTGAACCCATTGAGATCCAACAGTCTCTGCCTCCCAAGTAAAGGGATTAAAGACCCTTGAATAGTGGGCCTGCACCACTATGCCCAGCTTAGAAATGCTCTTTAACAGTCTTCTCAAGCTCTCTTCACTCTCCAAGATCCTGTCTCTTGTCCCGCCTTTACTACAAGCAAACAAACCCATGCACAACCCCATCTTGCTTCCCCTTGGCCTCAGCTCAGTGAAGCCTCTCGTGTCTAGAGTCTCCATGAACGCTTTCGTGGAGCCCATAAGGTTCTCAGAACTGTACCACAAATTCATTTTCTCCAGTTTTGCATCAAAGTCTCCCTTGAGTGCTCTTGGACAGGTCAGAACCTCTTTTGTGTGTCCTCTGGGTACTTGGCACCTCTACTCTGCAGGGGTCCTTTAGATTAATTTCTATCTTCTTTTTCTTCCTATCCCTCCATAGAGACTGAGATTTGAGGAGATGGGTCAGTGTCCACGACTCTGTGGTGATTACCGCCTCAACGGTGATAAGAGCCCACCATGGATATAACCCACAAAGCAGAGAAGAGCTTCTGCCTTGGAGGGTCTAGAAGACCATGTTGAAGAGTAGTGCACTCTGGGAAGAGGTCCTGGGCTCTAGTTCTTCCCTTCCGAGGATGTGATGAGTAATGATGAGTTCACAGGAGACGGTAGCTAAACAGAGAGGAACGTGTCTGGCCAGGCCTCTTGTCTCCACCTCTCCTTCTGGTACCCCCCCCAGCCAAAGCCTCCAGCAGGTGGAGGCCTTCAAACATCCTCTGACCACACTTCCAGCACTTCTTTTGAAACTCTACAGACTCACTTTTTACACAGCGGGTAGGAAAGGCTCTAACAGTGTAGAGACAATTGCATCAAGGCCCAGCTCAGCTCATGAGCTCTGCTCCAAACAGCCCACCATCAACTCTAGAATGAAGCCCACCTGTGCCCTGGCGGTCCTCAGCTGCCTGGTCCTCACCTGCTTCCTACGCTCTTGACCTGGCCATACTGGTTGCTGCTAGGGTCCTCCAATGCCCCGAGCTAGCGCCAGGGCTGCTTCCCTCTGTGGGAAAAAGGCCTCCCCAAGATCTTGCCGTAGTTGTCCATGTCACTCCCACTTTTAGAAGAGGACTTCCCTAACCTAGCCTTGAACTTGTGGCCCTGCTGTCTGAGCTTCTGAGATTGTCGACAATCTTAGAACACACCGAACACACAGCATTCATGTTCCCATTTTGTTTCCTTCCTCTTCTCACCTCTTTCTGAGAAATTTTCTCTAATGGACCCTGGGACTCATGTTCCTGAGAGCATGGTGGTCTCCGTTGTCCATTGCTGAGTGCCTGGTACCTGAAAGAGACCTGGGAGGGGACACACAGATTTGTGGGCAGGAGCGAGTATACTCTGTGTTGCTGTCAAGAGGGAAAGGGTGGTTTTGGTGGTGGAGAAATGCAGAGTGTAGAACTTCAGGAGACCTAGGGTCTGTCTAGCCTATGAAACCACCCTTACAGATTTACAGAGTCTGCTGGCAGCTGGCAGTGACTGAGAGCTGCTCACTGAGGCTGAACACAGCAGCCACTGAGGCCACCTTGTGACATGATCCAGTGGTGGGAGACTACTACTTCCAGGAACTGATTTAATCTTTCCTGATTTGCCTCTGAGCATCACACATGTTGTGCATACAGAATGTGTAAAGATAACTCACAGTGGGCCACAGACTGAGGACAGTGGGACGAGCCAGGAGAGGCAGTCAGTGGTGAGATACGGCTTTCATCTCCAACTCTGCCTTCTCCTGGTCATGTCTTGGTGTTGATAAAAACACACAGCTGGTAAATGAAATGGGATAATGCAGGGAAGTGAGTATCCTGAGACCTAGCATATAAGACGTGCATGCCATGGTTTCTGGATGGCAAGTGTTTCCCCAAAAGGCTCAAGATAAAGCACAGTTCAGAGGTCACCCCATGATGGCGGAGAGATCCAGTGGGTGAGATGAATTTAAACAGCAACTCCAGGTCAAAGCTATGGAGGAGAAGAGGGTTCAGGCAGGCAGAGGCAGAGAGGGAGGAAGACAGTGAAGGGCTGAATTCAAGGATGAGGGAGGTTGCCCACTTGGAGAGCTCTGTTGAACTTTAAGGACAATGGGGTGAACATTAAGGACAATGGCTTGCTATGTTGTCCACTTAAGTGTGGGAGGACACAGAGGAACCAGAGTAGTATCTTCAAAGGCTCAAGTCTATTGATAGTTCCTGGCCTCTTGCTGGGAGAGGCTGAGACTAGAGTATGGAGATATGGAAATCCTGGGAGAAACCACCCCACAGGGACACAGAAGGTGTCCTTTCCTGCATGAGGAAAGGAACCCTGAGTTGAAAACACCCAAGCTGAGAGAACCCACAGAACCACAAGGTTAGACAGCTCAGAGGTGCCAAGGGGGTACATTAAAGTTTTTGTCTCCTGTTGACTCTGCCACAGACACCCGGCCTCATCCTCTGTGAAAACACAGAGTGATGTATTTACAGTCACCCTCCCTATCTAAAGGGGACTTGTTCCAGTAAAAGGAATTAAAAAAAACCATAATTTCCCTACCCAAGGAACAGCCTGGAGGTAACCAGAAGAATGGGAAGGTGTCTTATCTCAGGGTGGGGCATCTGTGCTGGGCAGCCCACCCACCTGACATTCCTGAGCTCATTCAATGTTATGTTTGTTAGCCAATCCCTTTGTAACAAGCTTGCCTTCAGTCACCCAATCCTGTAACTGTGGTGAACTGGAAGTTCCTGGTCTTTCCTCAAACCCCAATAAAAACCCTACTGTGCAGCTGCTAGGGCTCTCCTCTCTGATCCACCGTGTTGGTGGCGGTGGGAAGACCAAGTTTAAGCCCAAATAAAATTCTTTGGTTTTGCATACCTGATCTGGCTCTTGGTGGTCTTTGGGCACAACATTTGGGGGCTCGTCTGGAATTCCCAAGACACCCCCCCCCCAGGATCCACTCTCCCACACACACACATGAGGCTGAACACCAGCTGGTAAGTGAGCGCACTGTTTGTGTCTGTTCGTGTCTGTCTGTGTCTCAGAGATTTTGGTTTATGTTTTGTGTTTCTTTCTGTTTGTGTTCTTGTTTTTGGTTTCTACTTTCTTGATTTTGGGTTCCTTTTGCAAAAGGAGTTGGAACTGGCCCTTGGAAGGTGGATGCCCTGTAAAGCCCCTGGCCCAAGGTTCGGAAGATCTCTTTGCCAGCTCTTTGGGAGAATCTGTTCTCGTTGGTGTTGGTTTGGGGAGAGCCTGGAAGCTCTCAAATCGTTCACTGGTTCTGGATGCAGTAAATCGCCACAATTCCCTGATCGACCAAGTTTTCCCAGGTAAGTTTGTGTCTGTTCAAGAATGTCCTTGTTGTTGATTTATGGTGGGTCTTCTTAAATTGATCCAATGGGTAAAACTTGAGTTTAGTTCTAGACCAGCAGAGCCGTGAGTCTTGGTGGCTCAAGCACAAGACGCAAGTCCCTGGCAGGGTGGCTTGAGCTATGGTCCACAAGCTCTGATCTTCTAGCCTTTAGCTGTGGGTGGAAAAAGAGCCTTCTGGGAAGGCAGGCAGGCCAGCAACAATGGCTGGAGATGTACAAGCCAGTCTCTGGGAGAAAAATGGTGGTGATGGCCACTGCTCTTCTGGGGGTCAGCATGAGGGGCAAAGGCAAGGAGACACACCAAGGGAGGGCAGCAGTGTGTGCCCCTCCACCCACCCAGCCACACTGCTCGTAAGTAACGAAGTGCTTGAAATTACAGCTGAATGAAGTGAGGAAAGTTCTGTCTGTTTAAAGTGTACGTATGGCCATTACATGTTTATTTGTGACCGATCTTAAACGGTTAATACGCTCTGTATGTTTTGGTTATTGATTAACAGTTATTGAATATGTTTAGAGTTTAAATTCAAACTCTTGTCTAAAACATGTGTGTTTGTAACATCTATAAAAACACAGTTGTTTTTAAATAGCAACCATGTGACTGGCCTTGTGCTGTGACTCTGCCATCTTGAAACTACCATGTGGTGTGGGGTAGGGCAAAAAAATTACAGAACCTCTTAGTCGTAATGAATTCTGTTTATCATCCTATCTCCTCTTAGACTAAGAAGACAAGTCTCATTTTTAATTGGTATTGATTTTAAAGATTGAATTGTTTACACTGGTAAAATTTGGTTTTGACTTTTAAAATTATGGTTATGCTTTGTGACTTCACTCCTAAAAAGGATACTTTATTTTAATATTGCAAAAACAGATTTCTTTTTAAAAATGCGTTTAAGGTTGTGAAATATTTTAAAATACCTGCAGGTATTTTAGAGTAATGTCTTTATGGATTATGTACACATATATACTACATA